CATGATCTCAGCTCACTGCAACCTCCGCCTCCTGGGTTCAAGCAATTCTCCTGCCTCAGCCTAGCAAGTAGCTGGGACTACAGGTGCATGCTACCACACCCAACTATTTTTTTATTTTTTTTGTATTTTTAGTAGAGATGGGGTTTCGTTGTGTTAGCCCGGATGGTCCTGGTCTACTGACTTTGTGATCTGCCACCTCAACCTCCCAAAGTGCTGGGATTATAGGTGTAAGCCACCATGCCCATCCACTCCAAGTTTTTAGATCATGGGCAAGCAATAGGAACATGTATATATTGGGCCAGGTGTGGTGGTTCACATCTGTAATCCCAACAATTTGGAAGGCTGAGGCAGGTGGATCACCTGAGGTCAGGAGTTCGAGACCAGCCTGGCCAACATGGAGAAACCCTGTCTCTACTAAAAATGCAAAAATTAGCCAGGCATGGTATCACGCACCTGTAATCCCAGCTACCTGGGAGACTGAGGCAGGAGAATCACTTGAACCCAGGAGGCGGAGGTTGTAGTGAGCTAAGATCGAGTCACTGCACTCTAGCCTAGGTGACAGAGGGAGAAGCTGTCTCAAAAAAAAAAAAGGAATATATATATATATTTCCATTTTATTCTCATGGAAGTCATGAAGGGGGAAAGGTTAGACTTTCAAGAAAGTTAGAGGGTATACTAAGTAGCTTATTGCTACAGATGAACATTGGTAAATACACCTGAGTACTAGAAACAGACAAATCAGCTACGATCAGGTAAGGCATGTGAGCTAATAAATAGGGACTTTGAGTCAGTCCCACCCGATTCCTATCTAACCTACATCTGAAACATTCTAGCACCAAATCAATGGGTCTACCCCAACAAAGTGACTGTTCTCTTGCCAGAGTTCTAACTGCATAAAGGACCATCATGTTCCATCTGAAAGTGTCTCAGGCCATTAACTCAAAGACCAATTAATAAGGAAAAACGTGCGTGTGTGTGTGTGTGTGTGTGTGTGTGTGTGTGTGTAGTGGGTATTAGGATAAGGGAGAATACTGATGTAATTATATTGGTCTTAAAGGAAATCAGACAATAGGCAGAGAAAACAATGAACTGGCACTGCTTCATTATACTACCTAAGAGAATGGGGATCTGCAGGAGAGCTCCAGGCATATTTTCTGTTGGCAGCTATATTCTCTTAGCTTCAAGATTATGACCATTACAGATGGGGATGAATTGGCAAGAGAAAGAGGCAGAAAGTTGCTATTAAGGCTGGGGGATTTGGGTGAGCCTCTATAAAATTACTGTTCCCCCAAATACTTGTACCTTATATGCAAAATTAAAACCATTTATGGGAATGATGAAATAATTGGAGAACAAGAAGGGGAAAGAATACAGTGGCTTTCATCATTTGCTAAATTCAAAATATTTTACCATCTCAGCATTCTATACTTTCTCAAGTACAATTCACTTACTTGTAATCCTACTGAGTACCCAAGAGGAAGCAGCATTTGCATACTGCTTGAGAGCACAGGCTCTGACTATAGACAACTCAGCATGTCTCAGCTTCTCTGAGAAATCTCTGCCCCTAACAAGCTATAGGACCTCTGAAAGTCAGTTACCTGCTCTAAGCATGCTGCTTCATAAGACAAGTGGGAACAATAATTGTAACTTCATCTTATAGAGGATAAAATAAAATTATGCATGTAAAAACAGTGTCAGGCACCATAAAAGCACTCAACAAAGCTATTATTAAGAGAGACCACATAATTTGGGAGGCTGAGGCAAAAGGATTGCTTAAGTGCATGAGTTCAAGGCTGCAGTCAGTTATGATTGTGCCACTGCACTCCAGCCTGGGTGACACAGCAAGACCCCTGTCTCTAAAAGAAAGAGAGAAGGATGGAAAGAAGGAGGTGGAAAAGAGAGAGAGAAAAAGAGGAAAAGAGGGAGGTGGGAGAGAGAGAGAGAGAGAGAGAAAATGAATCGCATAGGTGGATAGATGGCAGGAGACAAACATACAGAGATTGTAAGAGATTCTGACTTGAAAGAATTCCAGCTCTTGGTAAAATCCTGGAAGCAATTCATGTACTGTAGAATTCCAATGTGATGGTTGGAGCTTTAGAGCCAGGACTGTTGAAAAGTGCATGGTGTCTACGGACACTGGGGAACTGAGCATACGGTTTGTCACTGGGGGGAACTAGTGCTGGCCTGCTGCCACTTTCATTGCATAAAAGACCATTTTGGGGACTCAGAGCCCTGCCAGCTAATTGATATGGACACTGTGAACTCCTCAGGAATGGAGCCTGAAAATGTGGGGCACTTAGTGAATTCCAACAGGGCTGCCAGAGCAGCCCTCAGCATCAATCTTCCTTCTAGAAGACTAGGGCTTCTAGGCCAATGGCTTAGGCAAAAGCAAACAAGCACAGTATATGAACGAGCAACTTGACCTGCTACCTTCCAATACTCCAAGATGATCTTTAAGAACATCAGGAGAGATGCTGGGCTAATGCTGGGCTACAATCTGAAAACAAAATCTGCAAACTCCAAACTGCATATTCCTGATTTTTGACATCCTCCATCTCAAGTTCTTAAGTAAACAGTTTGTTATCTTCTTTCTCCTTCTTTTCTCTGACAAAATTATCCCATCACATTGCTCAAACTGCTTTCTAGCATTGTCACCAATAACCTCCTAATTAAAACACCTAGTGGCCTTTCAAACTTCAAGCCCATCTTTTTCTATCAGCAGCATCCTTTTGTTTATTTAATGTGTGAACTCTATGTAAGTGGGGCACTGTGTTTGAAGTTCCTGGGAGGCTGGAGAGGGGAGAAACGTGGATAAAACTAGTCCTTGACTGTAAGAAACTTACAAGGGAAGACAAAAAAGTAAATAATTAACTAGTATAGAATGAGTTTGGACTTTATTCCAATAGGTGCTGAAAATTATTAGAGCTTTCCAAGGGAATAAAATGATCTGAGCCATGCCTTAGGAAGACGACCTTATCTCTCGTAGAAATATGACAGAGAGATAAGAGAAGTAAAACACTGGAATCAGGCAGACCAGTCGGCAAGGTGATTGTAATAATCCCAGCAACAGATTATGAAACTACGTACCAGCGAAGTGGCAAGGGAAATGAAAATAGGCTGTAGGAAGTAGAACTGATCCAACCTGGAGACAATATCAATGTGGGAGTCAGGGAGATGGAAGAATGAATGACAACTTTGTTATTTCTAACTCAAATGCCTAGGAAAGATGAAATGCTGTTTGCTGTGAAAGGCAACTGAGGAAGGCTTTTTTGAAAGCACTGTAATGGGTTTTGATTTGAGGTATACTGGAGTGAAGGTGACTTAAGAATTTCCATATGCCAATATCTAAGAAGTTGTTGGAAATTCTAATTTTAATCTTAGAGATATCAGTTATTATTACAGTTATTGCTATTATTGCTGAGAAGCCAGAGCAGAGAACAATATAACTAAGACAGACGGTAGGATGAGAAGAAAGCAGAGGAAGGAAATTGAGAAATGCCGACAAAGAGGGAATAGGGAGACATGCATGATGTGTGTGAACAGCTTCTACCTTCTGCTTCTCCTTTCTTTACTTCCTCCTTGACAGAATTTACTTTTGCTCAAAATAAACATGAAACATTGCACATTCTGAGAAAAGCAACAACCTAATTCAGTAAATGCAAGCTGATAAAAATTACATGGTTGATTGGGTGTGTTATCCTGTCATCCTTTTGCTGTTCTTCAGAAATAAATTCATTGTTTATGAGCTGAAACTAGAAATCTGCATTGCCAGATTGGTTTTTGTGCGAATGAACAGGGACTCCTACTCAGTAGTAATTTCCCCTCATCTATATTAAGCATCTAGAGAGGACTCCCTAGGGACAAAATAATATGGAACCTTTACTGAGGCCATATTATTGTGATTATTTATAATATTTCCAAGTAATTAAATAATTAGCCTCAATTAGTCTCTTACTGAACAGCTAATAATCCCTACTTTACCATCTTTGAGCTATGCCATTTCTAGGAAGCAGCAGAGTTATAGCAGCTAACATGTCCAAAACATAGATTTAAATCCTAGTTCTTCTGCCATTTGGTAGCTGTGTGTGATCTTGGGCAAATTATCTAACTAAAATAAAAGAAATAAGTTGCCTGTTATGCCTTTGAACAAAATAAATATTTTAAGTATCAAATACTCATTTTAGATATGCCAAAGTATCTTCAATTTACTGTCTCTTTCTCTCCGCGCCCCCCCAACCCTCAGCCCTCTTAACATCAAGTAAAATTCACCTAAACATACAAGTGACCAACCTTAAGGAGTTCCTGTATCTGATGGCTAAGATGCATCTCAGGATAAAGGGCAATGCCAGCACTTTCCATATGCATCAAAATGCCTCTTACTGGACTCTTTTAAAAAGGCCAAAAACCTAGGTTTTCACACCCTGATGGTGTCTGAAATCATTACATCAACACCTTTCCCTTTGACAAGAGGTGCATCATAATATCAAAGTGTTAGAAGGGGTATAAATGGACTACCTAATATGA